CCCCAAAACCCCAAAACCCCAAAACCCCGATGAGCAGGATAGAGCATCAAATTTAATGAATTAAAAGAGGTTAATAAATGATTACTCTATTAATTTAAGCAAGCTTATTAGAACTTTTATTCAAAGCATTAAATTTGAAATATTAAATGATAAGCATCACAAATTTACGATAATTAATTAAACTAACACTAGTTCAAAATGATTAGTACATTTAATAGCACAAGGGGCAGCTTCAAAAGAACAAAAATATGTAATAATTGATTTAGAGGCTTTGATAATTTCGGCAGATAAATTAAGCTTTACTACAAAGGTCAAGACACCTTGAAGAGCAATTTCGGAGCATTCATGACCTTGATCTATATTCTCCTCCTTGTCACATTTATACTTTATAGAACAGTGGTCCTTGTCTAAAAATCCGAAGTTAAGGCCAGTAAATATAGTTTTGTTCAGAAACTGTCTTAAGCTGAGCCTTATAATCCATATTAGTATGGTTTTAATTACGCATTTGGAATTCAAAAATATCTTGACCCAACTATTGCCACATACTCGATTATATATACAATATAAAGATCATTGAAAAACTCAACAGTGAGACCTAGAGAGAGAGTATCTGTTTAATTTGCATCTTGCAACAATACTAATTTTCCTTAACTTGATGCAGAAGAATACGCTTCTTCACCCATTTCTAATATGATGTGTGCAATTAATGATCCAAATAACATTGATTTATAAGGTGATTTTTATTCAGATATATTTAAATATGTCGAGGTTAGGCTAACTAGATGTGTAAATGGAACTGATTCAAATATTACTTGCAAATCTAAAGAGGACATTATTGCTTTTCTTAACACTTAGAGATTATCAATAATCTATATAAATTAGTACTTTGACTTTAAAAGCTTCGGGCAGGAAATTAATAGTTATTTAGATGACTCAATATACTTTGATCTCGAAAAGGATAGATTGAAGCAAACGAATGTATTTATCCAGAGAAATAGAATTAAACTTACTGACGATTATTTCTAGTATGGATAATAAAGTGATAGAGAGTTTTTCTAAATCAGCAATATCAGAAGCTATGAGGATGATAATGCTTTTGAAAATTAGATATACAACAGAGTATTCTTTAGAATTGATAAAAATTACGACATCTTTGAAAGATAAATATATTCATTCGGATAATTATTCGGTGAGTTAGGAGGTCTTAAAACTTCTCTATTTTTTGTTATTTCAAATCTTGTAGCCATCTTTACTTCTTAGATTCCATTTATGAGAATTGCAAATAAAGTTTTCCAATCCTATGAGAGATCAGAGTTACTATCCAAAATAGGTAGAAATATAATATATTCTGAGTAATCTTAGCACAGTGAAAAAAATACTACCACTAACGGCAACAGTGGTAAATTAGATAAGTCTAAATTACGCCTGATTGTTAACGATATATTACAAAGGCGGAGTTTCAAATTTACTAACTATAACTACATCAGGTATATTCTTTGCTGCTATTCAAGCCTAAGATTACGAGATAAGAGAATGCAAACATGATTCAATATTTATTTTAAGTTTCAGAAGGCTTAGCAAAAAATTAAAAATGAACTTGATGTTACCAATATCATTACTAAGCTGAGGACTTTCTAGAATATAGTGAATAGTAGTTGCAGTACGAAATAAAAGCTTGCTTTGCAGTATTAAAAGTCCCACGTGGTTGAGACAGATGACTCGGATTATGAATACTCATGTTTCAAAAATGAACTTTAAAAGATGATCTAAAACAATAATATGGTAAAGTAAAATCAAGAATTTTTAGAAAAAACATTGAAAATTTCAAGTAAAGATAAAGATGGTCATAAATCAAATGATAGCAAATTTATTTTAGGGATAATTTAAAAACCTCAAGATACTATTTAAAAAAAGTTGAGAAGGCAAAGTTAATCGATTATCTAAAATGAGCTTTTACCGACCTCTATTTATGGCATAAAAAATGTAGTGCTTCTCAAAAAACAAGATGTCGAAAGCTTAAGTGCTGGAGAGAGGAAAAAACTAAGTAATTAATTTGTAATATATGAACCTAAAATAATGTTTGATGATAATGAGGCAACTAACAGAGCTCTTGAAGACTCCTCTCGATAAATACTATTTTAAACTAAGGTAATATTTTTAAATCAATGAAATTTTTATATAGCAATTCAAAGCTAACAAAAAAAGAAAAACAACTACTGAACTTAAGAAACCTACAAGAAAAATAAAGTATCTGGACACTTGATATAAAGCACAATTTTATCTCTTAAACTTTATCTTTAGGTTTAATTGCCTTTGATAACAGCATATTTAAAAAAAGAATTAAAATTATTAAGTTTAATTTAAATTAAGATTACTCGAAATTATTCAAGAATCTACTACATGGGGTTTTGGGGTTTTGGGG